AATTGATTTTTTAAAATATATCCAAAGGGTAGCTCCCTAACTCGCTGTAAATTCCCATAATTGGGGTTCTTTGTGAAACTTGAAGGAGATATCGACAGTATTGAACATTAATGTCCTCAACTGGTGATTTGGATGAGAACTCGTCACCCCATACAACACTACCATAAACAAGTATCGGTCGTATTAATTTGTCAAAAAGAGATAGTGACAAGGTGATGGACAAATTGTGTATTGCGTCTAATTTAGTTTTGAGAGAAAACAATGCTTTTTGAGCCTTTTTCTTAAGGTGCTTTAGAGCTTCCTTAAATTTTCCATTTTCACTGACTATGCATGCATTGCATTTCTCAGTTTACTGTTTTAATAATTACTGTACCATGTTTTTGTTCTTGTAGTGTCCTAAAGAATGTACCTTACTTGATAGATATAACAGCTGATATGTTTCCTGACCCTCCATCATTGACAGAAATGTAAGTACACTAAGACTGATAATGAAACTTCAAAATATATATTTTTTTTTTAAATTAGTGTAATTTACATATAAAACAAAGTAAATTAACTATATGCACTTGAGGGCGCTGTTAATTGTCAAGATATATTCTTACAATTCTTGACTTTATAGTGGTTTATGTACTGAAAGAACCGCTCAATCCCTTGGATTGCACCAAGTGCTCATGGGTAATTAACTCCGCCTCTGTCCACTGAGTAAATGAATGCTTGTCTTTCCCCCTGTACCGCTAATCCCACAAAACAAAAACTGATATAAACATCCTAAGAACGAATTACTATTTGCTTGTTTAAATATAACATAGCAATTGAATTTCAAACAAATACAGAGCAGTCTTCATGTGCCATGATTTGAAACATCGCGCACTTGGTAATTTATACATCGTCGGAAAAATATGACGCGGAACTAATTTAAGTTGATGATGGCCAACAAGAAAAGGCGGCAGTCCACCGGATACACATGACCAGATTGTTGCTAAACGGTCGCGAAGAAAATCCGCCGACTCAAGTTTATTTGTCTGTTTTCGTTGCGTCGGCCTATTGACGATACTAATCTCGTATACAGTAACCTTGAGAACTAAACTTACTATGCACATTCTGTATACATACTACTCCTCCAGACTGCTAATATAACAAGTGTGAAAACACGAAGTCAAGGACTTCAGTTTTTATATTTCCGTCACAAATCGGTAAACAGAACGTGTATTT